AAATAAATAAATAATTATTTTGATGCCTGTCTATTGTTGTTGATTGAAGAATATTAACAAAAATACAAATTAAGCTAAAACTCTGATACATAATTAAGACTAATGCATTATGAAAACCACCTGAATTAGAACCTCTGTGAACTGATACTTCTCTGCTGCGGGTATTTTTATTGGTATAATTATTGTGAATAAAGTCATTAAAATATGAAAATTTAGAAAATCACTTTACCATTAAATAGTCAATGAACTCTTACGACCGGTCTTTGAATTAACAAAAGTACGAAACCTCGACAGACTATTCTCAATAGCTTAAGTTATTACTTAAGTAAACTTAAGTCCTAGTTTTATCAACTGCTGACAACAGATCATTAAAAATAAAAAACGGAAATGTTTAAGTACGGTTTAACGCTGCTTAACTATATACTCTCAATTCAATAACCGGGCGCTAGTCTAAGTGAACACGGAACCTTTAAAGGACCCAAAACGTCTTAAAATTATTCGTTAAAGAAGTTTTAATTTATGAATAGGACACGTAAAAATATATGAGACCAGTATCACTATATAATTTTTCGAAAGCAGTGAAAAAAGAAAAGGCATTAAATTTTTTTTCAATGCATTAAATTGTCTAATAGAAACGAACAATTGACAAGTATAAGATTTGTGTATAAAAATACTATAACACACAAATCTGGTTACCACACACATGTGTTAAAAACATTTATTTTACTCAGAAGCGCTACATAGATCGAATGGGGTTATTCCGTATTCATCCTATGACGTCTCATCCTATTTCTTCACTCATCCCAAACTCTGTATTCCTAACTCAACCTATGAATATTTTTCTTAATTCATCCTAAACGCGTATTCCTTACTCATCCTGAAGCAAATATTACTAAAAAGTATGGATAGCAAAGCAACATTTAATATTTTTACTGAAAATTATTATGTATACTATAATCCTTATCTAATATATATTAGAAATAAAAATTACTGGGGCACAGATCTTCCCGAGTGATGGAAAGAATCAATAAATAAGGTTACTGGTGTAGTGCAGATTGATACTCAGGGGAAATCTGGAGACAGGGAGTAGGAGATATGTTCCTAATAAAAAAATTAATTAGTTTAAAACTCGCTTCTCAATAGATTTTTAGAGCAGATTTGATACTATTGATAGCCAATAGCATAACTCTGTTTATTTATAACAAGTCAATTTAAAACAAAGTAAAAGTATTTTTTTTTTGTCATTTAGCCTTGTAGTAGTTGATTATTTCTTGTTATTTATAATTAATAGTTTATAATTGCTTTGTTAATCCTATCAAAATCTTATATAGGTTTTATTTCTATATTAAGAAAGTTCTAAACCATAATCAAAATCTTAGGCGACGAGATATACACGAGATACTAGTCCTAACTAGTTAATAGTTCTTAAATATTTGTGTAGTGTCCACAAACAATGTAAAATTAAGATCAAATATTTTCTTATTGTACTTACAAGAGAAAGAGCATCAACCCAGGCATGGAATATATTCGCCTGTGTATGTATTTAATTTAGTTTTTATCTATACCCAGATAAACAGTGACTAATCTATTAAAATATTTGCCTATGCTCCAGTGTCTACTTTAAGGGACAGAAAATTATCAACTATTAAAAATATAGAATAGCCACGTGTATTTTCTTTCGAGTTTATTAAAGCCATACTTAGAAAAACTATCAAAATCATTACATTCAACATTTTTTTCCGAAAGCCGGGCATTTATGTTTTTCACGCGATTATCCACAATTCTTGCAAATTAATTGATTGCGTTTATTTCGATGTATTAATACGAAGTTACATATGATTTTATCTCTTTTTTGTATGGGTTCGAATGTCGTACACATTCTATGCATTCATCTCTGTGCTAATGATCAAACTTCTTTTCTTAATTTCAACAATTTGAGATGAAGAATAATAATAATAATAATCGTACTAACGTAGCTAATGATGATATAGCTTCTACTTGTTGATTATATACTTGCCTAGATATAGTATCTGAGCTGAATATATAGTGTAACTGTCTCCGTAAGAATAACATAATTATATAGGTATTTTGTCGCATTTGAAAATTAAAGTTTGCGCGTTTAAAGTCTCCATTAATTACAAACAAAGAATGGAATCAATTAAAAATATTACGTACCATCAATAGGTATCCTTCAAATGTCCATTTAGATTAATTATAAATTAAAATTTTACCTTACGATATGACACTTTGTTTAAGGGGTTGCTGTTTATTGAATCAAAGTCTCCCATAAGAGCGTAAGTGATGTATGATTCAAAATTATATTAAGGATCTATATCCTTTTGTAACAAATTCGGTAACACAAAATGCTTATTGGCAAAATAAAAACTCATTTGGAGATTACTATGAGATTCCATATGAACGGTCGTGTTAAAACAAAAACACCGAAATGATAACCATTTACTCCAGATACTCTTTTCTCTTCACACTGGATATTAAGATAAGTGCCTAAGTTCTTATGAGTATTTTCTAATCCTCCAGTTTTCTGATGATGTTAAGTACTAGAATTAAGTTCAATTAAGAAGAATTGAGTTTTAATACTCAGCCATCATATCCATCACCATATCTCAGCCACAAGACATAAATTATGTACTTCTGTAAGTTTCTATTTTTTTAGTATCTTTATACAGGCGGGGGAGAAAATCGAAAGTAAAATTATGATGCGAATTCCTGTTATCAACCCCGATCAGGGTGGATACATGAACAAGCGTTTCCGAGTATATATCTTAGGGTGGCTGTTTCAAGGTGGATAAACATAATAAGCCATTTTTACAACTGCAGAGTTATTAATCCTATCAGATGTAAAAGTTTAATTTGTCATATCATCGTATAGTTTACGAGTCTGAGCGCGTGTCATAACTAAAACGACTGACTTGTTCTTGCATATTCTTTAAATCATTTAAATCATTATAATTCTGCTTAGATTATCTGCAGTGGCATTTGTTTTCCTCGGCAAGTATTCCATGTCAAAATTGTACTCTTCTAAGTATAGCCTAAACTTAATCTATCTGCTAGAAAGGTCTTTTCATCCAAATAGATAAATAAGCGGCCTATGATAGATGTAAACTGTAAATTGCCTTCCATATAAATATAAACTAAAATGTCTGATATCCCGCAATGATATAGGTAGAGGTATAGATAATAATTCAAGATCTATTATGGTATAGCAGCTTTCCGCTGGGTTTATTCGAGACACATCTGTTTGTAATATAAATTTAAACGCTAACACCGGTGGCTTTATAAGCAATTCTTTAATTTTTTGGAAGTCTTTTTCACAATCTAAAGACCATTGAATAGAAGCGTGTTTTTTACATAATTTATATATACACTTCCTATTATTAAAAAAACAATTAAAAATAGTTGTCTATTTTTATGAAACATGATACTGCGCAAGAAAATTTTATTCTAATATTCCGTCAGAAGTACAGCACATATTTTTGAAAACATAAACTTTTTCGACGAAAGTTACACCTGAATAAGTCAAATTTAAATAAATTTATCTCTCGTAACCAAGTTTTACGCTTAAACCTTTTACTCTATTAAATACAATATTATTTAATATATTCTTATAATATTGACATAAGCACTCGTATCTTAAACATAAACTTGCTCCACTATCAACTAATAAATGTCAATATTTCTCTTTATCTAAACTAAAAGTAACATTATTGCTTAAATAACAAACAAATAAAATTATTTTCATTATTAATTATAAAAAAACTAACTTCTTCAGCGAATGCTTTTTGTTGCACACTTATATGCTGAACTCGGAAATGTCGGTCATTGGCGCTAACATATAGTGGATAACCGCGACTACGTGAAAACGTGTTGGTCATTGAACTTGTTTCAAATTGTGGCTGGTACCTATTATTATTTTTGTAAAATTATTGTACTTAACCTTCAATCAGATAATCCGTAGGTAAACCTCATTATAACTAATCTTTCCTTGATAATATGTACTCTACGTAAAAATTATCATTATCACCGTTTGATTGTCAAGTTAATAAATAACCTATAGACCTATTACTTTGATTGGTCTGAAGAATCTGCATTTGTAGCGCAATTTCTGATTAGTATGAGTAATGACTTTATATCTCGAATCAAATCATATACTGAATTATAAGAAATTTTGAAGGCGAAGTTTTGCACTTGGCAATAATCTAGTTTTCAAAACAATTTCTATCAAATTTGGATGTAATGTACTCGTATTATTATTTTGCTATATAAAGCAATACCATCGATTAACTGAAGTGAAATTTTTCAGAATGGCGTCTTCAGTACCGGTTTCCATCTCAGAGATTTCGAGATCGGAGTCTAAGGTGATTGGTAGATCGCCCTCCGCTTCGATATAGATCCGATAAATCGGGTAATGAAGCAGCTAAACTACTTGACGGTTCTGATCGTTCCTCGCCCAGAGAAGGAGTGTCTGTTTTAATCTTATCAAATTCCATACAAGTTCCAAGGTTAGCTAGGGAAATAAAAAGTCCATCCGAGCAGAGCCCCGCATGCCCAGGTGAGGCTAAACACTACTCCATGATTGCCATTTCACTGGAGAGTTATCGTTTGAGACCAAGCATCCCCTTTGACACCTTGGATTGGGATGGAAGAGGAGGGAGAGTGTGGGAAGTAGGTTTTAGATGTTAAGCATTTGGAGGAATGAGGATCATGGGAAAAGGTAACGGGAATCTCTGTCCTTGTTGGTTTGCACTGGAGAGATAGCGTCACTCCCGTCAGCTAGCCGGATCCCAGGATTGATGGTAATGAGCGATGCTAGTTAAGGATCCGTGTATTACCAGGATATACGACGTGGACGTTGGAGTGACACTTGACGGTAGACGATTCTGACTCAACATCGCACACTTGAATCCACATCAGCCGCCCTACATTCAAGATAGAGCCCGGCCCAAAAACAAACATCATCATAATATACACTGCTGCATATGATGCCTGCTGCTGCCAACGCCCACGTGTCGCACAAGTTGTCGTCAACGAAATATTTTAATGTTAATAACTATTGCGAAAAAATTCTATTGATGTCAATTGTTTCTGCAACGTCACCTAAACATGTCGTAATCACTTGCGTGAATTTAACATGTTGCGGTGAATCTACGACATACTACACAGTGCTCGAAAACGACTGTGCTCGACTGTACTGGGGCAAGTCCATATCCCCCTATTTCCTTCCCTCTACCCCTCAACCCTTCCCTCCCTATGATCATATTCGTCCCTCAAAGGCCGGCAGCGCGCTTGTATCCCCTCTGGTGTTGCAGGTGTCCATGGGCGACGATAATCACTTACCATCAGGTGATCCGTCTGCTCGTTTGCCCACTATCCCATAAAAAAATGACTGATAATTTTTCAAATAAGTCTTATAAACTTTATTTTGTTAAATATTTACAAATTAAAATGGTTCATATTTTTCGTACATATAACAAAAACCCGTATTTTCACATGTAGGACACGAGCATATAAAGCTACCACTTAGCGATCCGAACTCACTTGATATTTATCTATCCTTTTGATTATAAAAACTATTCATATGTCACATTCTTTTCATGGCAAAAATATTGATCAATTTTCTGGAGAACTGTGGCATATATTTTCATACCTTCATTGTTTTCAAACACCAATGAGTTTCAATACACGATCACTTAATGCACTTAATAGCAATGCTATTTTTATTTCATCATCAATAGCATTAATCCCCGAAGCCGGTAAATATATATCAAATTTTTGTTTGAAAAATACCCAATTGCTTGATAAATTACCTTCCCATGATGGTGAAGGAAGTCGGATATTCAGTGGTAAACAAGCTGTAATTTTTTCTTCGGCTAGTTGCTAAGAATGAGCCATCTTTGAATATTTGCAATACGTTTCTTTCAAATCTGTCACTGTTTTAATTTATAATATTAACTCACAACTCTATTAAATATACTAAATTATCTCATTACCTAATTATTTTATTTAAAAATTACGATAACTAAAAGGATTGATTTTTGTACGTCTCTGTTAGTGACATATATATTTTTTTTATAAAACATAAAAATATAATATAACTAAAGAGTTACAACAACATGAACCTTGATAGGTATGGCAATATGGAATGAAGAGAGTTAGACATTTCCTAGAATAAATAAGTATAATTACATTTTTATCTAAACTTGTCATTTATATATTAATTTTCTGTAAAACTGTTGTTTGAGGTTGTAAATGTATACAATCTTTTTTGAAGTTCGTATTGCTCGTGGCGTCAAGTTTTTATGAACAGGACTATCTGCGATGTAGTTGTTAAGTTACATTTACTACGGTCGGTCAACGCTTAACGGAAAACTTCACGAAAAAAAAACTTTAATTCCGGCGGTCCTGGTAGTCTTTAACACTCTCCAGTCCGCACTGGGACGCGTGGTGAGCGATTACCCTTTCCTCCTATTTAATTGCATTCACATAGAAGGCCTGTGCTTTAACGCGGAAACATCAATAGGCTGATGATGATATCGATAAAATCAAAGTGAATTAGTTTAAACTAAGAATCCTAACTTTCACTAATTAGAAGATAATCTGTCTGGACAGCATAGTTAATTTAGTAAATTATCACAAGTCAATTAATAATATCTGACATGTGATGCAAATGGATTCGTATACATTTGCGAAACTTAATGCGACTTTAATTTGTGTCACTAGGTCTTAGTGTCTTTGTGCCGTGCCTATTTATGTTTATGCGTCATTATTTACGTATTGTTGTGCGATTATGTTAATGTCATTTGAATTTCCAAATTCGTCTTCAATAGACGAATCAGAAAATAGAACGAAACAACAATGTTGCCAATTTACGGAAAATAGTATGACCTATAGTGAGTGCTATTTTAATTTCTTTCACATACGGGAAGCAACTTTTTTCGTGAGTCACCCATCCTATTACCGGCCCTTAGGAAAGTTGCTTAACAAGAGTCACACATCGTGCGCGCTAATAACTGCCCCATCGAGCTCATGAAGAAAGTCGTTAGTTTACTCACAGTCTCACTATTTTTGTAAGTTTTTATATGCTCTTGTATTGTTTTAATATGCGCCACTTTAATTTTATTCTGTTTATTAAAATTGTCAATATTGATAACATAATGACTACCTTGCAATGTTTTCAGAGTTTTAATTAAGTGCAATAAGGTGACTGAATCAATTACAAATTAATAAACAAATATGTGTAATTGGACATAGAAAAAGCAACGGTAGTGATTTTTAATTTTTCAATAAAGTCTAAATAAGCGACAGCCAGTATAATGTACTTAATCAGCCTTATTGCTCATAATGTTACGCTAAGTTGTTTTTCTCCATTAAAAATATATTTATAAATAGATTGTTTGCTCAAATTAGGGTACCAAATCTTTTTCAGATTTTCTCATAAGCCTGTCTATCCTAATTTTATTCAAGAAATTGATGTAAGCATATCTCGGCCACAGTCAAAAGTCTCAAGTATAATTTTCATTTCAAACGTTTTAGAAATAAAGATAGATCATTTAATACATCATGTGGTACCTTTTCGGTGGTTGGTTTTTTTCTGAAACAATACAACACCAAAAATATTTGAAAACTGTTTCCTGTATCACGTAAAAATTGAAGGGTTTGTTGTTAAATATTTTTTTTTATCCTTTATAAGTAAAAACTTTTGAGCTATAAAAAGTAGACAAAAATTGCCACATTTTTGTAACAACTTACAAGAAAACCTATAAGAATTTGTCAATATAATTTAATATTTATACGAAATCCTTTACGTGAAACTTCAACTCGCTTCTTCGCTGTTTTTTTTTTCATAGTTTTTATTCATAATAAATCGTTAACAGTCTGTCTAGTTTACTAGTTATCGAAATTCAATGGGTATGATGTCATAAAACGAATATATTTAATGTTCACGTTGGCATAATTAGAATATATAAGATACAACGGTGCTGTAGACATTACTGATTCACTGGCGCCATATGATAATTAATGTAAATATTGAAATATAAATTATTTATAGAAAAAATACTTTATTCGTCAACGGGTTGTATCCGTAACCTTTCGTTAACCAGTCTACTACTAATTGACCTCGTCTCGGGTACCCGTGATGATTGTATTTTTTTAAGATCGTACTTAAATATTTCAAGATAAAATCGTGTGTGCAAAATCATGTCAAGAGAGCAAAAATAATTATTAAGAGAAAAAATAAATAACAATCGAAGATTTTAAAGGTAGCTAGCTGATGTCAAATTATTTTACTATTTTTATGTTATAAAATTAGTATTAATGGAATTCAGTAGTCTGAGATTTTCAAAATGGAATTTTAGACTGCTTTTTATGAATGCAAAATAATATATGAACAATTTAATAATTGAAGGCATTTTCAAAGACATAAAATAAATAACACCTTAGTTATTTTTTAAATAATCTTATCGTAAATTTGTAAGTAAAAATTACGAATCTTATTATAATCAAACGTTTGATCATGTCTATACTAATAAAATGTAATTTATTAATGAATAAATACATAGCATTATCACACATTACAGGCCCTGTGTTTATAATAATGAACTATTACCAATTTTTTTTCTAATGTATTTTATTCCCTGAACACTTTTCGAATAAGTTATGGTTCTCTGTCTGAATCTATTTTAGAAAATAGTTTAGATTAAAGCAGTTTATTGTGTCAAGTATCAGACGATAATATTTGGATTTAAGATGTTGAAATTATAGAGAACTACGTCGTAACAATGTCACCATAAATATTTGGATATTAACATTGTAACGACATATATTGATGGCACAGTGGGTAGAGCGTTGGATCTCTGATGTGGAGGTTAAGTAACTTACGCAAGGGCTGGTCATAGGATGGGTGACCGAAAATTTATTACATATTTTAATCACTTCTCTTGTTGTTAACATCCCCAATTCAGTGCGGCACAGTGTGCATAAGATATTGTATTTTATTTCAGCTACAGATTCTAAACTAAATCAGCTGTTCACGTACGCCTTCAGATTCATATAAAACAGTCAATTATTTATAATATTCAAGGCAAAAATCAATAGTATTTATTAACATTAAGCGACAAAAATGATTTTAGTTTCTTCAACGTAACAGGGTTTTATAAGCCCAGTACTGCCACAATGATAGTTTTATGGCCAGATTTAAAAAGTGTTAATGATGATAAGAATGATAGTTTTTACAGGGTTGCTGCCATGTAATTTGTTCTTATTGTATCCGTCCCGATATTGCGGCGCTTTTGGAAGCACCATGATCCGTATAATCTAAAATAAAGGATTAGGAAAGCTGAAAACAATATATTAATGATTATTGTAAAAAATGGATTTCAAATATTGACGTTAATATTTGTTTTATGTAGTGGCGTTTGAGTAAAATCTTTTTGACAGTTGAGAAAATTACGAGTATTATGTGGTTAAAGATGAAAGAAAATTTTGAGTCCGTCCTTTGGAGTATGCAAAATCATTTTAAATTATAGCATACTGAATTGTAGCTTTGTAAAATAATTATCGACGAAAGGAAAAAAGCTTAACTTGTGTTGGTGTTTTGACATTGTATTTTTTCATCATAAGAAACAAACCTACAAACTTGACACAGTACGACAGAAACAAACGGAATATAAAACCATTAATTCATTTATCAATCTTATTATTTCAATTAAAGGTTATGGAATATTTTTTTTGATCTAAATAAAATCTACTCCTAAAACTGCCAACGTACTGACAAACATTAATTAAAAAACTATATTCTATTGCTTATAAAGATCAATTTTGATACAATTAATTTGGAAACTCGGATTCATTATTAGTCATTGAATATAGGTTTAATCCTTGGAAAATTGGTTAACGTATAGAAAATAACAAACATGCTAGTTAAACATAGAAACTCATTCTTTATGATTTTGACTTCGTTTATAAATCATAATAATATCTAAAGATTCACAAAAAGCTTTTAACTATTACTATTTAAGAGCGAAAAAAAATTAATGTCAACTGGTGTTGGGATTATGTATAATAAAAACAATTATTGTACAATAAGATTAAAATAATAACTATGTAAAAATAAATAATTGAACAAACTTCATAATGACTGAATTTAGTCTAAGATTAATTTAGTACATTGACAGGAAAAGGAAAGAATGTTATCGTAATGCGGAGACATAATTTGATCGTAAAACTAATCTTATCTTCATTAAATACAAGGTCGGCGACATAATTTTAAACTATTGTTTTAGGTGTTTCATTGTTCTTTATTATTCTGGAAATAATATAAAGGGACATCCTCATTTTTTATTTTTTTTCTGTACGGTATTCGGGTGTTTAGTTTTGCATCGTAATTATCATCAAAGAACTATTTACATATATTTATATGTAATTACCTCATACATATAGTTTATTTATAGATTGCAGATTAGTTGGACTTTATTAGTTCTGAATCATTTTTTCTATTTATTGCTTAATAAGCAAGCCTACGTCATCAATTATTCAACAAAAAAACCTCGAAGGTTTACCT